GTCCTTGGCAAATTAGTTTTTTAACTAAATGTGGAGGCTTTTCCAGATGGCTTCCGCTCGATGTTGCAAGAACGTGGGGCCGTCATTGGCTTGAGCCCCTTTTGGACCCTAATTCCGATTTGCCAACACCTATATTCCCACCTTCTAATTATTTATCATTGCCGCTAATGAGCATTCTAATTATTGCAAGGTAACATGCAATAATTTTTTTATTTTTTATTTTTTTATTTTTTGCAGTAGCTGAACCATATGCGAAGTATTTTGCAAATAACTGCTGTTACTTATATTGAATAAGCATATGCAAACTTAACATGCTAAACAATACAAGCTTAGTTGAATTTGAATGAACAATGCAACTGTGGGGTTTACTGTTTTTCTTTTTATGTATTTAAGTATTTTTTTATTTTTTTTTTTCCATTCTTTTTCGCAGAGACTGTGGGTTACAGTTCTCGGATAGTGCTTCTGATGATGCTGATATTTGTGCTGTTTGCTTGGAGAGAGCATGTACAGTTGCTGCCGAAGGTGAGCCTGTCTATTATCCGATGCAGTTCAATACTTTCTTTTTTCGTTTACAATTTGTCGACATATCATACATCGAATTATTCATATGTTGACCATCTCAATTCGACATTCACATTTCCTGTATAATAAAAGTTTAAAAAAATGAAAAACACGACAAATAAGAATCATGTGACGGCACATAGAATGACACACATTGCTCAATATCCATTTCAAATTCTACTTCCTTTTAAACATGCTTTCCGACTCTATTAATATCATTACAAAATTAAAACAGCCCTTAATACACCACATTATTCGACATTCACCTTGCCTGGATAAAAGCAAAAAAAAAATAAAAAAAAAAATACTCGATGAGAAAAAAATATTTGACGGTACATAGAATGACACATTATTCGAGATACGATTCTATTATCATCGTCTAAAAAAAACCTCAATACACCACATATTCGATTCGAAATATTTTCACACTCAATCGTGACGAACAACTTTTTTTCAGGTTGCGCGCACGAGCTATGTGTGAAATGTGCTCTCTACCTCTGCTCGACCAGCAATATCCCTCTCGAATCAAACATACTGCCCGGCACAATCCCTTGCCCCCTCTGCCGGCACGGAATCCTGTCTTTTACCCGACTGGCGGTGGGCCCCACCGAAAAGCAGACCATATTACCAATATCGCCCCTCGGCTTGTGCACGCCATGCATGCTCCACAACAGAGAGCACGACCGGTCTGAGTCGACCCGCTCGCCCGACTCAAGAAAAGGGAGACGGGCCGATTCGGATTCTATCTCGTCTGACATCTTTTGCCCCGTCACGTGCAGCCCATTTCCATCCATGACGATGATCCCTCTCTGCACGTGCAAAAACGGGCCCTGCCCAAACTTTGATGTTGGGCCTGGGGAGGCGTGTTTGGATGGCTCGAGGCCCGTGGTGTCAGAAGAGCGGGAAAATGTGGATGGGATAAGATTGGAGAAAACGACTTGTTCGAGTATGTTTTGGGGGAGGAGAAGCTGCAGCAGGGAACACCAGTGTAATGCTGAGATTAACGCGTAAGATTAATCTTCTTTTTTTCTTATTGACTTCAATATAAATCGTGGGGGGATATCGATTTTTTAGCTAGTTTGAGATTTTGTAAGTGTGTATGTGATCGTTGGATATCGATTTCTTGAGCCGATCCACTGTGTTAGCATCTTGTTGACAACTTATCGGGGGTTTTTTTTTTCCTCGTTGTGTCGGTAGCATTTTTCATTCAACTATTGTCGATTTTTTTTCTTGTGACTTTAGAATGTATTTTCCTGGTAAAAATTTGTGGAAGTTTTGGCAAGGGACTTAAGTAAGACTCATCAGTTTTGATAGTTTGAAGTGGATCACATGTTGTATGTGCACTGTTTTTGTTCATTGTCAGGTTTTACTTAGAAATCTGAAAAGAAAGAAATGAAGAATAGTTATGTACTATAAGATTTGTGTTTTTTGTCTTTGTGATAATTAATTCGAAGACAGACTTTGAATTGTAGCATGAAATACATAATGTGAGAATTGAGAATGAGGGAGTTAGATTGACACGTGTCCAATGTGTATTTATTGCAGGACACGTGTCAATACATCATTTGTGAATAATTATGGATGGCTCCATAAGTCGAGTCATCCGATGGCTCTATATAGCAAAACCGTGAAACAGAGACTACAAACATAATTTACATACTTGAAAACAAGAAATATTATACATGAGAAAATGTATGAAACAGTTCTTAACTCCTTTAGAAATATATGAAAATAATTTTATGCATGACTTCCTCATGTGAATTTTAATTTTAAATTTTAAAATTAATTTAATTAAGCAAATTCGTTGCTCATTAAATAAATCAGCAAAATTCAAAACACTAATAAAAGCAAACAACATAAATGGCAAATAAGTAAGTAATCATGGAGAAGTTGGCGGTAGAGTACAGTAGGTTGTGTAATGTATTACAAAGATTTTTCATATCTTCCAAATTAATGAAGTCCCCCATCACCATGTGCATGATTTTAAAACTTGGTCCAAAATAGGCAAAAAAAAAAACAGCAAATTGTATAAAATACTCTAATTCAATAGTTCTCGTAAATAGTAAATACTATAGTTCGGAACAAGTTGAGTCGAGCTCAGATTCGAGCTCTTATCGAGTCGAGTTGTTCAACTAATTTAACGAGCCCATAAACGAGCTAGAGCCTTAACGAGCCGATAAATGATATATATATTCAATAAGTTACATAAAAACTTCTATTTATCAAGCCTAACGAGCTCAGGTCGGCTCGTCTGAACAACAGAACTCACGAGCGGCTCGATTTATTTATATATGAGCTACAACAATAAATAATATAGTGATTTATTAGCAATAAAAACAAGTTAATGTTAGACGGTTGAGTCCCATCCCAATCCCATTTTTTTCTTTTCAGAAAACAGCTCATCACTTCCTTAATTGTGACATTGAATTATGTATAATAAATTTATTGCACCGTAAATATATTAAAAAAAATTATATATATACACAATATTTTTTTTTTCCCAGTTTCCTCAATTGGTATTGCTTTCAGGGCTTTTTCTCAGACCTTTTTTTTTTTTTTTTTT